CCAAAGGTTTTATTCTTGCTGCACAGGACTAATGATCGCTAACTAGAAATTACCAAGAATAATTGTGTTAACTCAAAATGCAGATTCTGTAATAAATATCCAAAAACAGTAAATCATCTTGTATCAGGTTGACCAATGTTTGCACCCACTGAATATAAAACTCAGCATGATAGAGTGGGACAATATCTGCACTAGAAAATATATAACTTTTACAGGAAGAAAACTGCAAGAAACTGGTATGAACTGCACCCAGACCAGGTTACAGGGATAGAACCTGTAACAATTTTATAGGACTTATACACACAAACAGAACAATCAAAGCTAATTGCCCAAACATTGTGATCAGAGACCACAAGAACAGAATGTGCTTTCTTATTGATATGACAGTCCCTGCAGATTGTAATGTATCTTTGAAGATCTTCAAAAAACTATCAAAATACAAGGATCTTGAAGTGGAAATCTAAAAAATGTAGCACATGAAGACATCAATAATTCCATTTGTAGTTGGAACCCTCGGGTTGATTGGAAAAGGTTCTGATAGACTCATTGAAGGGATTCCTGGTAGCCATGCCTTAAAGAAATACAAAACATTGTACTCACAAGTACAGCTCACACATTATGAAGATCTATATATATGTAAAATGTGTGATCTTAGTTTGTTTTTTACAAAAATGATCAATGGAAAATGTCATGAAGCTATTTCTGATCCCAGAAGAAAATGTGTATACAACAGAAATCAAAGATAATAATAATATTAGAACCTTGAATAAGTTCTTGCTTATTTTTTATGAAAAGTAATGTTTTATTTACAAAAATTAGTAAGAAACATTTCACTGAAAGTATTGCCCATCACTAGCCACTACATTTTCCCATCTTTCTGACAGCATTTGAATTCCACATCGGAAAACATCTTTTGAGGTTAACCACAAGTCATCCCATTTTTTGACATCTTCATAAGAATGAAAGTGCTGCTCAGCCAGGCCATGTGCCATCAATCGAAACAAGTGATAATCAGACGGGGCAATACCTGGTGAATACCACGGATGGGATAGGACTTTCCATTTATGCATTTCCAAGTAGGTTTTCACCTGTTTTGCAACATGTGGCCTAGTGTTGTCATGTTGCAAAATCACTTTGTCGTGTCTCTGCTCGTATAGCGGACATTTTTTTTTTCAATATTCAGCTCAAACGCATCATTTGTAGTCAATAGTAATCTCTTGTGATGGTTTTGGTCAATTTGAGTAGCTCATAATAAACTACACCCAGCTAATCCCACCAAATGTGGAGCAGAAGCTTCAAATCATGGATATTCAGCTATGCCACCAATGTTGATGCATGGACAGGCTTACCCCATGATCTTTTACATTTAGGGTTATCATAGTGTATCCATTTTTCATCACTAGTCATGATATGATGCAAAAAATCTTTCCTTTTCTGCTGTTGAAGCAGATGTTCACACTTGACAAGATGCCATTTGAGATCTCTCAGCTTCAACTCATACAGCACCCAATGTCCTTGCTTTTGGATCATTCCCAATACTTTCAAACATTTCGAAACTGTTGTGTGACCAACTCCTAATGATTCTGCAAGTTCAGTTTGTGCTTGACATGAGTCTTTATGAAGTAATGCCTCTAATTCTTCATCTTCAAATTTTTTCGGTGCATGAAAACATTCTTTATCTTTAACATCAAAATCATTATTTTCAAAGCATCTAAACCAATCTCTGCATGTTGTTTCTGACAGAGTATAGTTGCCGTAAGTTTCAACAACAATTCTGTGTGCTTCAGCTGCAGATTTCTTTTGAATAAAGTAGTGCAGTAAAATTCCTCACAAGTACACTTTCTTTGGAAAAAAATCCGACATGTTTAACGCTATAAAAACAAAGTTGTTTACATGTCGGTGAAATGACACATGGATTTCAAGCTTGCTTATAGTACTTCCTTATAGATGCGTTACCATCTGAAACTACAAACACGCAGTTCTGAGAAAGCCATCTGTGAGAACTTATTCAAGGTCCTAATAATAATAATAATAATAATAATAATAATAATAATTGTTATATTTGATGATGATCCATTTACTCTGATGTCCAGCAGGTAAAACAAAATGGAAATCCCTTAGTTCATCACTTCTGGCACTGAACTATGTAGGCAACTCTATGTATAGTGGTTCCATTGTTCTCATCAGTGAGGATTTCAACTGAGAGACAGTCATGGACAATGAGGACTTAGCAACTCCATCATAGATATGCCAGCAATACTCCATTCTTAGTTTGATCTGTCTCTTGTAAAGATAGAGCCTGGAACCAGGAGTCTGGTATTTTCTTCTCAAAAAAAGAAAAAAAAATAGAAAATTAGGTCCTTATTTCCTGGTGGAATGATTTTAAAAAATGTGTGAACTGTTCTATGAGACAAAAGAAACATTGGCTAACTTGACAGATAGAAAGATTAATAAATCTGCTTGAATTCGTTAAACTTTCAGTTAGCATCCCACAAGAAGCTGTAAAGGAATATAATAGTTTTCAGCACAGAAAGATGAAATCAGCAAGCAGAATTCAAATTTTGGTTGACTCTTATTTATCGAGCACTAATGCCTTTGGGAAAGATACTAACACCACATCCTTGCACTCTTTCCCATTGTCAGAAAGTATCCCATTTTTAGCATTACCATGATGTTGGACAGAGAAAACAACTAAGTGCAGAGTAAATCACTCTCCCATAATTACTGCACAGGAAGTAATAACTCGAAAATAGTTGTTATTGTTACTTGCCAAAAGGTAATGTATATATTGATATGTATACATATATGTACACAGAGAGCTGTGTCTATAAATGTTAGGAAACTTAAGGCACAAACTGGCTTTCTCAAAAAAAAAAAAGAATGAATGCAGAATGTGGTCCTTTATTTTCTTTACTTTGATTTTGAGAAATGTTTGAAATTCCCAGTGAGACAAGGGAAACATTAGGTAACTTGACATATTGATTGATTCATTGATTTGTTCAAACTTTTGTAGATTATTTAAAGCCAGAAAATAGTTTTAGAAAAAGTTTTTTGGAGATAATAATGATTTACTGATACCAGTCCTACTAATTAACCCATAGCTAGGGGAAAGGCATATTTGTACCTTTCCCAAGGGTATTTGGAATTGAAACTTGACTCCCTGAGTTCCAATTCTGAGATGTTATTCATTACACCACCAACACATCCAAGCTTACAGTTTAAAGAAATAAGTTGAGAAGGTTAACATTTGAATCTGCCATTATGAACAGGGAGATGACTGACCTGAGCAAATCTTCACTGTGATTCTAATTGGTTAATAAGTGAATGGGCTAAGTGAAGTAATGTGGTTGTTTACATTATTTATATTATTTGGACTGTTATCCTCATCTTCATTGCCATATTCACAATATTTCGGTCGTTGTACACTCTGGCCTTCTTCAGGTGATTGAAATTTGGAACTGAACCCTTTATTTCACCCACCAGAGTAAATTGTTCTAGTTCCACATGTCATGACTCTTATGGATGTCTCAGTTATTTCCCCTTAACTGAACTCTCCATGTTTTTTGGCTTACCATTGATGTAGCCTGGTATTGAACTCACAACTCTTTGGGTCTAGTCACTGATCTAACCAACGTCTTTATCCACTGGGCCATGTGTATAAATTTCTGGGACTTATAAACCTGTCTCAGCAACCATTTTTTACCAGTACTCATAGTGCAATTTTTCCATTATTATTATTGCATATTTTTTACCAGAGCTTATATTGCAATTTTTGTGTTGTTATTGCATTGAGTTGTGACAACTCTATATTTATTTCTAGCTGGTGTTTCCACAATGTATGTTCTTGGCTGATGTATTTCTTTTGCAATAGTCACATAGACTCAATGCTAACATACTTTAGTTCTTACTCCTAACACTGAACCAAACCAGGAATTTATTAATTTATTTATTGTCAATATGTTTCATGTATATTAGTCTATCTATATCTGCATTTTATATGAAAATCCTTCTCCACAAGTGTTGTAACATACTTACAGAAGATAATGGGTATGTCCCCATTCACATAAATACAGTAGTAAATACTGTATGTTGGTTTGCAGTTGGAGATTTGTCTCCAGATGAGCTGGTCAAACTCTCTGCCTCCAGGCAGAGGAGATCCCCAGATGAGACTTTGTCGAAGGGCAGAGTCTTGTCTCGGGAAACAGCTACCTGACCCCATTTTATATGGGGTCTAAGAGGAATTTTTGTCTGAGCCTATGGGCTCAGATACCCCACACTAAATTCAGCCTTGTGCCACATCTGACTGTATGGAGCAGTTGGTAGATATCCTGCAGTTAGAGATTCATTGTGGAATTCACTTGACTCACTTCTAGCAGTTGACTACTTTTTTACGTGTCACTGGCAAATCTTATATGTGTTGTTCTTGTCCTCAGTATTATTGTTCATTACCAACCTTCATTTGATTATTCTATTCAGTAACCTTCCCTAGGTTACAACAACAATTGATAGAAACCATGTATTAACAAACAATATAGCTACTCATGAAAGGAGCTCTTTAATTGGGTATAAGAGTTCAAAGCACACTTGGTGTCAACAGGGCCTGGTGCATACTACATCTTGAACCCCAGACTGAGTGGAGCCTGATTTGGAGGCCTGGGCAGTGCCTTGTGACCCCTTGCTATCTTATCAATATTTGCTTTTTTCTATATATGTTATAAATTAAACTAAGCACAACCAACTATTAAACAATGAAAAATTTTCACAAATTTTGATATTATCCTGAATTTGTTTTGCTCATGCTAAATCTAAAAAAAAAAACCTATATAAAATTCACTATTTTTTATCCTTAATGCTGAATGTGTCAAAATTCATCAACTTTTTAGCAAGAAAAATCTCAATGTTGAACATTTTTACAAAATATTTTTGATTTAAGGTGGAATGATCTATTATGACATGTCTATAATTTTTATTCAGATACATTGTATTTATTTTATATTATATTATATTGAGATAGATAGATAGATAGATAGATAGATAGATAGATCATGAACAAACTGACATAGGTAGATAAAGAGATAGATTGATAGATACATTTATATACATTACAAATTAAGCTAAGCACAATTGAGGAAAATTTTTTGCAGATTTTGACATCATTCTGGGTCTTTTTTTTTTTGGTCCAAATCTGTGAATTTGTTTTTCTTATGCTAAGTCTTGAAAAAAACACTGTATAAAATTCACTATTTTTATCCATAATATAAAATGTATTAAACTTATTTAACTTTTTAACAAGAAAAATCTCAAGTTGATATTAAAAATTGGCACAAAATATTGTTGATTTATTTAAGATGGAATGATCTATTATGACATGACCCTAATTTGTATTTATTTAGATACATTGTATTTATTTTCAATTTTTCTAGGTGAATTGTTCACTTATATTGCTTATAATACATTATTGTACATAATTAGGTTATAATAAAATTTGTATTTTATATAGATACTACCTTATGAAAATAGAGCTAGTAGCAGTTGGGGTGGGGGCAATTGAAAAATAGAAATAATTAACCATTTTATTTCACTTCCAAAATTTCTGATGAAGCTAAATAAAAATAGCAAAACTGTATTAAATTTAAGGTTTTTCTTACTTGTTTCTTATTTAATCATAGACTACTTGCTAAAAGAACCTTAAACTCTGCTAATGACCTGTGGATCTCATTTTATACTTGACTGCCAGTTTTATTATCATAGACAAACCTATATGGGATGGGAGAGTACAAAAATAAATGAATGACTTTCAACAGTGAGTCAGAAAACTGAACAGCAGTGCTACAAAAGTGACTGATAATGATCACTAAAGATATTTTAATTCCAATAGTACAGAATACCTTTACCATTACAGACACATTTGTCTGAAGTATCAATTTGACCTGTTATTATAACATGATGATTTATTCCAATTAATATATTTGCCTTTTTTCTTTTGCAACTTTTAATACAATATTTCAGCTGATCAGTTCACTCATCTTGATCAGGTGAATGTCATATCTAAAGCCCACATTTACAAAATGGAACAGTTGCAGTGGCAAGAACCTTGATGATATTTAAAATAAATGCTTAAGATCATCACATGTGACATTTTCCAAGTAATGATTGGCCAACTGAACAGCTTAATTGTTTTGTTAACAGCTAAGGACTATCCAATTAAACTATCAAGTTTGTTTTTGTTTTTTTTTGTATAGTATTGATGCTTTTGTTATTGGTCCTAACCTGGCTTCTCAGCTTCAGTCACTTTCTCACAACCTTAATGTAGTTTCTCTGTGCTTTTTCTATAAATACTTTCATTGTAATTGTTCTGATGAACTTTCCTCTATAGCACCTAGACACTTTATGAATTTAAGCACAATTCTAGATTGGAGGCAAAATATCATTTTACAATTGAAATGGGTAAATGTAACCATAAGTTGTATACTAACAATTTTTTTTCTCACACTTCTCACTTATTGAACTGTCTTCCAACTTCTTGCTTTCCAGTCAAATTTGATCTTCAAAAATGTAAATGCAATGCCAACCATTATCTTCTGTCTTCTTAATTTCTGTTCTTTTATTGTTCTCACTCCTTAATAATGTTTTTCTTTTTCTTACATTCTTTTATACTCAGTAACCCTCTGTGTCTTAGTGGCTTTATTGCCTTGCTTAGTGTGAAATGATTAAAAAAAATGTTAAAGATTAGCATGCCAGAGGTCAATTATGAAATTTGATTTCAAATGCCAACTTTATAATACACAACTTAAGCAATAAAATATTTTTATGAGTTGATTTATAGCTTCAACTGAAGTTTTAATACTGTTTTCACATTTAAAATTATCACTGCAAATAAACTCGTTGTTGATATCCACAGATGAAAATGTATCAGAAAATGCCAAGCACAAGATAATTCATAATTGCCACATGATAACTTATAGGTGACATCATAATAAAAACTGCCAACCAAGGGATAACTCATGGTTTGTAGTCAATTGACATTTATACTTTCAAATTCAACATAACAGAGCAAGGTTAAATATATTAAAATAGAGAAATGTAAACAGTAAAAATACATTTACATTATTTGGGCTATTGTCCTCATCTTTGTCGCCATCTTTATTACAACGTTTCAGCCATTGTACACTCTGGCCTTCTTCAGGTGGTTGGAATGTTGAACTGAACCCTTTATTTCACTCACTGGGGTAGACTGTTCTAGTTCCACATGCCATGTTTTTAATGGATGTCAGTTATCAGTTATCTCCTCTTAATTTCCTTCTGAAAGTTCTCCACTGCCTTAACCAGGTATTGAACTCACACTCTTTGGGTCCTGTCGCTGGATCTAACTAACACCTTTATCCACTGTGCAATGTGTCCTCCTGACATTTATTGAACAAGAAAAGATGATAAGGAGAGAAAAATAATTACATCTGATAAATGTTGGCTTTGTTACATCCAATTTAAAAGCATAAATCTTGATTTTGATAGAAAAAGATGATAAATGCAAAAATCATTGAGAAATAGGAACAATAATATAAATTTTTTGGTAATCGTTAACCTTCTTGCTCCCCACCAAAAATCATGTCAAAAGGACAGTTATTCCTTTGACACTGTTGTTACTGTATACACTTTTGACTCCCTCAGCAATATCTATTTACAGGATTACAAAAATACGTGAATTAAGTACAATGTAATATTATTTACATTTTATAATGATTTATTATTTAGCATTGGTGCATGCGGCAACTTTGAAAAATGCCTTATGCATAAAATTGGGTAGACAGAACTATTTGGGAGCTGTCGATGGTTGTACTAGCATGAAACCGCAAGACATTGTGGCCGAGGGTTTGAGTGTACTGGTGTTTTTCATACTGTTGATCATGTCAGATAATGCGCTCTTTCCCCAAAACTGTAACTACAGTCTGCTCAGCATAGTTGCAGTATAAACCACAAGTGGGCTCTGTGGTTGTAGAACAATCACAAATATGCCTAAGCAGGCGTCTGCAACAAGGATTAAGTAACCACCCTAGTAGACAGGCATACTCGAGTATTAGTAGCTACCCACCAGTTAATTGGTGAAAGCAATATTTGGTTGATTCAAAACAGAAACATTATAAAAATTTTAGCTTTATTACTTTAAAAATACCGTAATTTCTCGAAAATAATATGCATTTATAAATAATATGCACCCCAACAAATGATCCCAAAAATTAAGAAATATATCTATCCCTATATATAATACACAGCTATAAATTTTGTCAAATAATTGCAAAGACATTTTGTCGACCTTAACATTAAGAATAAAATTGAAACTAAGTTGCTAAAATAATGTTGAAAATTGCCATGCAGTTTTCCCAATAAATGGTAACAGGAAAAAACCAGAGTTGAAACTTATTGTAAAATGGATTCAGGAATCTTGGGATTCTATCAGTGAAGATGTTATAAAGAGAGATGTTATAAAGAGACACTGCCCTTTGGCGAAGCCTCGTCCGGATTCCTCTCTGCCCAAAGGCAGAGAGTTCGACCATCTAGCGGGAACAGATCCCAGCTAGAATATTTAGTCACCACCCCCCACAAGGGTTGCATGTGGCACAAGGCTGGGTTTAATGTGGGCTCTCTGAGCCCATAGGCTTGGCCAAAAATATTCCCTTTTTGAACCCACATAAATGGGTTCAGGGGCAGTCTACCTCCCTGAATGAGACTCTGCCCTTTGGCGGGGCCTCCTCCGGGTTCCTCTTTGCTCAAAGATAGAGTTTGACTGTTTAGCTGGAACAGATCCCAGCTAGTCTCTGTAGTCCATTGACTTACAGATAATTATAGGTAGTTACTACCTATAATTTAGTCACTCATGGGGGTGACAGGTTATTCCATTATATCAATATGTAAATCTTTTAGACTCGGCGGTTAAAAACCACCAAAATAGTTAAGGATTCATTTTGAATTTACATAAAGGTATTTTTTCATATTTATTGGCCAATGAGAGACATGGTCTCAAGCTCCGATGAAGACCTGAATGGAGCATTCTATGATCCTCTTTTTTTGAATAAAAGAATGGTCAGCAGAAGGTTTTTGACATCAAGAAGAGAGGAACTAGATGTCAAGGCATTCTGACAAGAAGGCATAAAATTACAAGCAAGCTGCAAGCATCCAAAGGAACTTTGAAGTTCTCAACTGAAAATTCTCCTGTGGTTGGACAACAATGAAAAAAGATTTCAAAGAAATTTTCTCTAAAGCATCACACACCCTCACTGAGTCAGAGAGAGTAGTAGTGGGAGGGAGCAAAAGAAATAAGTCACCAACTAGTTTGGTTGGTTGTTTTGTTTTATGACATATCAACCTCAGTGGGTCATTTAATGCCAACAAAATTTTTAAATAGATTCATAGTGATAGTTTGGTAAAAAAAGGTATGTATGTATACATATATATTTGAACCATTTTTCAATTACTCATATTTTTGAGTACAATCCAACTTCTTTTATGAAATTTACAATCTTGGATGGTTTTATTTTTGTTTGGTTTGGTTTGTTTTGTTTTACGGCATATCAACCTCAATGGGTTATTTAATGCTGATAAATTTTTTTTTTCTTGGTAATATTTTGTTTTGTCAAAATTTTTTTCTTCAAAAATGTATAGCTGGTAATATTATTTTCAAAAAACATATTGCTGGTAATATTTTTTTTCAAAAATATATTGCCGGTAATAGTTTTTTTCCTTCAAAAATTAATTTCTGGTAATAATTTTTACAAAGTATTTCTAGTATTAAAACCTATTTTTACACTTTTATAATACTTTTTACCTCAGTTTCAGGATTAACTATTTGCCCAGAGCTGGGACCCTAACAGGTGCTACCACCCCAGGTCAGGGTGGACCTGGGAACACCAACAATTAAGAGGTGGTTCCACGCTCAGCAAAACCTCCTGATCAGAGGCATTGCTGTTGGACATAGTTTATCATCTTACCCTGGATGTGGATGTAGTTTATCATCATACCCAGGACATGCCAACTAGGAATTACAAGTACTTTAAAAATT